ACATCTGTGGCAAAGGGTCTGAATGAAACACCTGAATTCAATGATTAAGAGGTGTCTGACACCAACAATACTTTTGACCATATGATGAACGTTATATAGTTGAAAATATGCAAGATGAATATGCAAATTTAAAAAAAAAATATTGGATAAGCAGTTAAGGAAGACTGAACGATGGATGAATGGATGGATTGATGGATGGATGGATATTCCAGTATTACTATAATCCGCATAACCAGATGTAATCCACAAGTCCACGTTTAAACGTGCTTCTGAACAGCATAATGAACACATTTTCTCAGTATCAAGGTTAAACAAACCATACATAAAAATGACATGGCAAGTCTGTCAGCACAGTGACTTAAACAAACAGTATGATATGAACAAGGAGTATGATATGAACAAGGAGTATACTATGAACAAACAATGTTCAAGAAGCAGGAGGTGCAATGAAGGGAAGAAAGGAATGTAGACTGTACAGTGGGGGGTCCTTCTCTTCCATCTAATAATGGCTCACCCATGCCTTCTCATCTGCTCACCAACCATAAAGTCAGACTCCTGGGATATAAATGTTTCAAAGAGATGCTGTTCGTTACAGTCTACTGGACCCTCCAGGCTGACAGAGGAAGATACTGGGCCGGAGGGGTGTGTGAGGTATGGCCTACAACGTTTATTTGACTTTAATGTGTCTGTGTTCACAATATCAATCACAATCACATGAAGGGTTCTTCAGCATGCTGTCATCTTCATTCGGACAAATGGGAACAGTATCACAGAGTCTCATGCTGCATCATGTCTTTAACACGTTAACTGCATAACATGTTTCAGTGTCACTTAATCTGGATTAAAAAAAATGAATCCAGCGATTTTAAGTGTGGCAAGAAGAATCTAGGGGAATGTTTTGGCAGGACTATGTTTTGATCTCCCAAATTCTCCCAGCCCCTGAATCAGCATAGAATATCCTTTTCTGTGTACTTACAGCCCACGATTGGAACTGGGAAATGCACTAAGCAAATGCTTTCTGCTATTGTGAAAGCATAACAGACTCATTCATTGTATTTCCAGCATCACACGTTGTTTTAGGGTATTTAGTTACACAAGTGCTTGTTTTTTTTAAATTGTATTCGTTCCATGTTTTCTGTCCATGGGTGTTTGTAGTAGTGGGTTTTTCCTAATTCTAAAGAGAATTTTTTTCATGAACCGATCACAAAAGAAGGGTTAGTCGTGTGGGTGCCCATAGACAGTGACTGCAAGCCATCGAATTATCAACACCTGCATGGCACAACCATCTACAAATTTAAAAGTTAAATCTAATCCAGATTTTGTGGGAAAAAAAAAAACATTGATAATGTTACATGTTACACTGGCATATACACTGACAGACTTAATGTGTTTATAATTGTATGAGACATTGAAACGTCTCACCTTTATGGAGAATGTAGTTTTGTTATTGTTATTTGTTTTATATTCACTGAAAAAATGCCATTATCTGTCAGCAGACATGGCAGTCACAATGGAAGCCTACAGAATGTGCCGGAAAAGCCTGCAGGTCCACTGCCCACTGAATTCCAGTCATGATCAGCATTTATGAAGGAATGAGATTGGTGCCATTGAGGGCCTCAGCCCTGTAATTGTAATTGTAATTGTAATGTGCTCTCTGGCCAGATTGCAGCCAAGTTTGCTGGTTACCAATTACATCATTCAAAAGCTGTTTACGTTAAAATTTGCTGCAGCAAGGTTCTGGTTATAGACTGGACCTCATCAGTACTTAATATTATTATCTAGATAATTTTTGATTAATCGTAAAATTCATTCTATGAAGTTTTTATGTTCACGGATGGCTGAAAAGCAACATAAATACACAATTCATTGAACTACAATCACAAGATTTTTATAATCATATAGACATCAAATGACATCAATGTTCTGTATAATGTAACATCACGTCCTTCATTATCATGCATATGACATATTATGTATTGATGTAAATGTTTTATTATTTCCAAGAGTAAAAATAGTGAATTAGGCTTGTGATTGTGGTACACGTTCACAAATGGAAAAATGAAAAAACAATTGTCAGGCTTGGTTATAAGCCCTGAATCCATTTTATTATGGCTGAAACCCAGCTTGTATTTAGAAAGCTGCAAGGAAATTACAGATATTATTCAGATTAGCTGATCTGATTCCCACGGTGGCCTTTCTGTGCAGCTAAACTTTGCTGCCTCCACAGCGGAATGGGTTCTTTACTCGTGCCCGGCAGACATGCTAACAAGGCTGCCCGCCAATTTCACAAACAGGGGGGCTTCAGGAATTGTAAATGCACCTACGAACTCATCTTATTTGTTGGGTGTGTGTGGGAGACCCTCCTGAAGGCTGTCTGATTGGAGCCAAGGCCGTTTGTATGTAGACAATATAAATTAGTCATCATAATGAACCGATAACTTCTGCCGGCTTATCTGAGCAGGCCTGCGTTTCGTTACATCAGCGGCAAATCATAAATATGTTTAAATAGCTCAAGAAAGCAAAACACACAAGCCATTCATGTTTAAGAGTTTTTGAACTGGCTCATCTTGGCAAACTGTAAATTAAGGAAAAGATTCACCATGTCTTAACAATGCCAGCAGTATAGCAAATCCTGTCACACAGCATTAATGCCTTTTTTAACAGCAGGCTATTATGAATGATATATCATGCCAAAAGTCAATAGAAAAGGCTTCATCTAAAATAATTTCCAGAATGCATCCTACAGTCTGTTATAAATGTTGGGCCCAGTCTTGCTGACCATGCACTGTAATACTGTATATATGCTGCCTGATCCCTGTATATACACAGATATTTTACAACATCACACCTGTCTCTATAATAAAAAGACATACATGCAGCATGCAGATTAATGATCTGTCATATTCAACCTGCCAATCTATCCAAGACCACGGAGTTTTCCATCATTCAGAGATCTAGCCAGCTGTCAGCTGTGGCATGTGTTCGCATCCGCCGTGTTTCACTTATCTGCAAATACTGTTTGTTTAAAACTTACAGGCAGTAGCTGGGCTCAAAGGCCTCTAAGCCTAACTCTGCTGGCTCTGTTTCTTCTGGACCTGTTAAAAAACAGAGCGGGATTACTCAAAGCTGAAATAAGAGTCTGTAAAAACACACACAATATAGTTTTACTATAAATAAATACAGGGAGCTTTAAATAACTTGTAAAATGTAATAAAACAGAGTACGCACATGCAGTGGCCACTTTATTAGGTACACTTGCGAAGAGTGAATCGTGGCTGTACCTAGAAATTTGGAGAATGCATAGAGAGCCAGGAGGTTAACTGATTGTCCGGTTCTGCTGTAGAATGGCCTGAAGTGTCCTGATATAAGACCTGGACCTGGCGTGATTGTTGGTGTCAGACATGGTGGTTCCAGCATCTCAGAAACAGTCGCCCTTATAGGACTTTCATTGGGAACAGTGTTTACAATTTGCAGAAAATTGTGTGATTACAAAAATCCAGTCGGGAGCAATTCTGTGGCTGCAAACACCTTGCTAATGAGAGAGGTGAGAGGAGAACGGCCAGACTCATTAAAGCTGACAGGAAGTACAAAAAGAACAGCTCAGTTCCAGAGTGGCGTACCCAAGGGCTGCTCTAAACACACAACTCGTCCACCCTTGAAGCAGTTCTGAAGGCAAAAGTGGCAAACAGTAGCTATGCGTGCCTAAAAAACTTGCCACTGATTGCGCTGTGCCAGATGCAGATTTGCATCATTGGAATATTATCAATTAAAGAGGACTGAAATGCCAGAGCAATGTTGTGTAATTCATAACTACTGTAATTCTGCCCCCTTTAACCGGAAGGTCTTGCATGACTGACATTTAGGTGCGAAATCCTGCCATTTTCTGTTACAATTTTAGTATATTTAGTATTTTGTAATATCATAATAAAGTAAATTTGTATGCTTTAAAACTGATGTAAGCCTAACCTGATTATTGGTCGATTCAGTGAGTTTATACCCTCTACCATTATAGCAAGTAAGGAATAAACTGACTTTTATTATTTGCCAAAACACAAGAATAGACTGATACACTTAAACCAGCAAAGCAGAGAAAAAGTCCCTGTCCAAAAAAATGATCAGTTATGAGCATTGGGTTTTATATTTATGGGGTTAACCTATTCCAATTTCCTTGTCAAATTGTTGTGACCCAACCCAGTGCAGCCTTTTCTGTATTACAGAACACAACAGTAACCAAAATCTGGATGCAACTATATTTGATTTTCCAGTAATGTAAAAAAAAAAGTATTTAGTTTATAGTTATGAATCTTTCATTGCTGGTAATGCAACCCGTGACTTATCTTCTGGTCCAACGCAAAGTGCTTTGGGATATTAATGTTGTTACCCATAATTATCTGAAGCCTGCAGCATGTCCACAAGGAAACCACGAGGCTTGTGTGAACCGTTTTTACGTTAGGAAAGCGATTGTAAGATGTGTCTCTAAGGTAAACGGTGTGTGTTTTCATAATAAAGATGTGATTCATCCGTCCATCTTCCAACCATTTATGCAGCACAGCATCGTGGAAATGCCGAAGTCAGTATCGCAGGGTGTGAGGCAGGGCGTAGCCTGGATAGGATGCACATCATCCATCCATCCATCCATCCATCCATCCATCCAGTACAGGGCCTGGAGCCTATTGCAGACAGCACAAGATATGATGCCAGGGACGTATATGAATACATGCTAGACTATATCTCTCTATATATCGAGAGTGTATAATTTTTTCCTTAATAAATATAAATATTAGGGTAGTTTATTTTCATTGTGCATGGTTAATACAGTAGTTCATCACATAAAACGTTTTCCCAGCGATACCATTTTATATCTGGAATCAGATTTGGTCTCCACTTCAGGCACCAAACGTCCCAGTTCACGACGCTTTCAGGAAAAGCCCCGAGCGCAGAGACTACAACTCCCATTAGGGCGCGGGCACGCGTCTCTCCTGCGTGCGCGCTCCGTGCACGTGCTGTCGGTGCATGTGTTCCCTGTAATGCAGGCGAGCCGCTTTGAATGTTTGGAGGAGGAGAAAGCAATCCAGTCCAGCACAATGTGGGATGGCAGGAGGAGCTCCAGCCTAAAGAAAGAGAAGGGGGGAAGACGCGAGCGGATAAACTGAAAGAGGAGGAAAAAAGAGGCTGGATTGGAAACTACGGGGTTAAGTAAACTAACATTCAATAAAAAAAACGACCGATAACGTTTGGAGCTGAAGACAGCGTTGCAGATTACCGAAAGGAAGGTGCTGATCACTCCACGGTTTAATCGGCGTATACGAAAAGGGGAAAAAAGAAATCAACCGCAGCCGAGGTGAGCAGCCGTAAATATTTGATCCAAAAAAGTAAAAACGAACAAAGGTTTGGCATATCACGAGTGCTATTATTAAAACGATAGAGAGAAAATAAAAAGGTAGGTTCATTGCAAATATATTTCAAACTGTGAAATCAAAGGTGATAAATATATGGGTGAGGTTTTTTGTCTTTTAGAATATCCCGTTTTTAATTTTTAATTTGGGATTATAAACCGTAGCTGCATGTGCAGTTATGTTGTCTGTTTTTATTACGATTTTACGTAGGTGCCCGTGATTTTTAAAAATTAGATTGCATTTGAATTCCAATCTTTTTATTCCTTTCCCTTCCGCAGCATCAGTAGTTTATAGTGCTACACCGATTAACAATACATATTGAAGGGGAGCACCGGGGTGACAAGAAGATCAGCAGAAATGGCACGTTTGGGAGAGACACGATTCCCTAGCGATGTATTCATGATCCTTAGACACTAATCTATTGCTTTGGGCTTCTAGGTATTTTTTGACTGTTTTTATTTAATGCAGTATAGTTATAATGCATTATGGGGGGACTCTTGGAAAAGCCGTAGGCGTAGGACCTGTGTGTGTTTTGGGGTTTTCAGCCTTTTTCCGTGCAGGACAGATGCGAATTATTTGCGACCTTAAAGCCACATGAAATAAAGAGGCGAAGCGCCGCCAGCGAAGCGCCGCCAGCAAATCGCCGGGGCCGCATGTGTTGCATTGGCTGAGCAATCGGGCGATTTAATGGGTGAATTTCTCCGGGTATAATGCAGACGGAACCGGGTGTCAGATGGGAGCTGCGAGGGGGCTCGGCAGGCTGTAGGGGCAAAACAATCGAGTGCCTCATTTCCCTCCCGTGTAACTTATCTGCGATTTTTAATTATCTGCGATATGTATTTTTGCAGTGAATTGGATTTCTCTCCTCACAAGTCCTGCCGTTCATGAACCTGGAGCATGACGGATGAAAGCAGTCTGTGGGACAAGCGTCTATAAGTTCGGGTCTTTGGTACCGGAGCATCTTGTTAATCTTGTCCCTGTGTCCGTCTGATGATGAAGACAATGCCTACTTTTAATGGCTCGTGGTCAGCTTTGACACTTCCACGGAGAGAAAAGGCCAACTTTCAGGGATAACTGTGATACTCTTGGCTAATATTTCACTGAAGTGTCTCCAGTGAGTTCACCAGCGAGAAACGATGCTGCAGTGAAGCTGCCGCTTTTCTGGAGTGGCTCCGGGTTCGATGCAGTTGGGCTGCGCGCCAAGAGATGGTTATGGGATCGAGAAAGCCGTAAACACTCACTCAGAGATGCCTTTCGGTGTTTTCTCCTCTTTCACCTGCGGAGAGTGGTAATTGCACGCTGGCATAAAGGGATAAAAAGAGACGGCCAACTCGCAGTGACGGCCGGCATCCTCCGTCAAATGTCCACGTGTGGGAGAGACCCCGGCGATCGTGCTGCGTGGCTGAAGTGAACGCCGGGCTGCCTGCGTCCGCACCACAGACGATGCGGGGAAGCGCATGAGGACTTGCGGGCGCGGCGTGTTTTCACGATGGCACAAACCAGTTTGCTGCAGGGGAAGCGGTTCTACTGCAGGGAATGGGTTTTCCACAAGCTGCAGCACTGTCTGCAGGAGAAGACGAACAGCCTGTGTGGCGTGAGCGGCACCCCGAACAAGCAGGCGACCGGGACGGGCCCCGCCGGCTCCTCCTCGGGGAAGGGTTTGGCGTGGGGGGTGCTCCTGGTGGGAGGTCCCGGCAGCGGCAAGACGGCGCTGTGCACGGAGCTGCTGTGGCCCAGCTCGCCGCAGGGCATGCACCGCGGCCTGCACCGCCAGGGCCTGGCATTCCACTTCTGCCGGGCAGACGACGTGGGCACGCTGTGCGCCGGCGGCTTCGTGCGGACCCTGGTGGGCCAGATCTCCTGCAGCGGGCTGCTTCCGGGATACGAGGAGAAGGTGCGAGAGCCGGCCGCCCAGAGCGCCTTGCTGCCTGGGGAGTGTGAGAGGAACCCCACAGAGGCCTTCAAGAGGTACGTAGCCTGTCCCTGCTCCTGCACACTTCCTGACCCCCTCCTCATGCTCTACCCTTCCAGTTGGCCCCCTATTGCTGTGGTATGTTTGCTATCGTTCCCTCTCTGTGCCACCATGCTGTGCCCCCTGGTTTGGCCGGTCCCAGACAGGGAAAGGTCAGTGCCGTAATCTATCATTCAGATCTTGGTGTTTAAAGGGAACATTCATATATATTTGTTTTTTTTTTTGTGGGTTGTGTTACACTTCTATGCAGTGCTACCTCCTGTAGAGAAAAAGAAAAATTGTGTCCTTGTATCGCGTGTAACACGATCAAGTCGTTAATGTAAGCGTTACCGTTGGCCTGGTGAGGCTGCCCTCTGAATGGATTACCCACTCGACTAGTTTAGTCTGATCAGGCCCGTCTGCGTTGTCTGGAATGCAGCGTCGAGCACAAGTGCTGCTGTCTCTCCCGCCATCTGTTTGTGCTAAATGTACCGTTTCGGTGCTGGAAAAATAGGTCAAACATTCACAAAGGTAAATCATTTTGAAGCCGTGGCACAGAAAATCTGTTTTGGTGAAAAGGGGTGTTTTTTTGGCCGCCCCGCCATTCCAGATGATGTGAAGGCGGTGGTAGCACCAACGGCATGATGTGGAACTTCTCTGTGGACCTGTTAGATAGACAAAAGTGTCAAATTTCTGCATCGAAACAAAATGGGAACTTGCCTGGTCTCTGAGCTGTTTCAGGCATTTCTCTGCGTTTGTTTATGCGCTGTTGGACTTCATTCACTGTTTTCCTTCTGTCAGCTCAAACAGCCAGTTTGCAGGTTAAGAAGGACCTTTGTTTTTCGGTCTATGTGGGTGGGGAGATGCTAGCATGGTCCAAGGGGAACGTGATACACTTTATCAGCCTTGACTGAGAGACTCTGTTTGAAAAATGAATGGAGCCGAAAGCTTTATCATTATCTTTGGTGTCAAGTCATTGACTTCTTAGATAATCTACTGAAAAGTGAAAGGAATTTATCAAGTCTGAGAGGACTGGAATGCATAAGAGGAGCATTTGAAATGGGCTCTTTGGAAAGTGCTTGCAGCCTTAAATTTATTAAAACGTGGGACCTTCTTCCATGGTTTGTATTACCTGAGAAAAAGAGAATCTGGCCATAGAACTGAATTTTTAAGGTATGAGAACTGCACAAAGGCTCCACAAAGTAAAAACGAAATGTCATTTTAAGAGTAATGTGACATAGGAAATACTCTTAAACACTGCCATTTGATTTGCGAACCCTAGCTCTTTTTTTCTTAGTATTTGCAAATGAAAGCTATTGCTAGATTATTCTAGCCAGCTAATGAAAATTGGTTCTTGTATGGAATGTCGCGACTGCATCCTGAGGTCACCTTTGCAGTTGCATGAGTCACAATCCAAGTTGACTTTGCGGTCGCCCAGTTTGCCTGCAGGTAACGTTTGTGTGCTAAACCTGCACGTGCTTTACTGACTTTTCTTCACGTCCCAAAACAAGCCTTGTTTCCCCCTTGATGGCGGTGCATGTGCTGCATTGGGCCAAATTCCCACGACTGGATGGAGCTGCAATGGAGGTGATGTTATCGCTTGGGCGGCGTTGGCCTTGCTTGTTGTCGCCCGTGAAGAGCTGCCCCCATCAATCGGCTCCTCTTAAGAATGTTTTGACTGCAGGCCTATCTGGTGGAATGATTAGCCTTGAAGGTTTGGCCTTAGCTTGTGAAACAAGCAGGCAGCCGCATCTGACCCAGAAAGCCCCCCCCCCCCTTCTCGTTCACGGGGGACGCATGTGCTCGCGAAGTCGCAACTTGCTATCTATGTGGGCATGGGCAGGAAGTTAGTTTGAGATGCGCTTTTATATTTAATTAAAGGATACTGGTTCTAATGCCGTGTGTTTTTTGATCTGGTTAGATCACTTGAGTGCGTGTCAGGAATCCGTGTATCCTTGTGCTTTTTACAACAGTAAATATTTAACTAAGAGTATGATTACTGTCGAGGGTAACATGCAGGAGTCAGACTAACGTTACAAGGTATGAGGGATGTTCGTTCACACTGTTACAAACCAAGACTTGTTTGAGACTTCATTTCAAACGGAGCAAATTGATGATCCTTATCAGATGGTCGGTTGGCTGGCGGTGACTCTTTCGAACAAAGATCATTTGGCTGGTCTTTGTTTTGTTTTGTTGCAGTGGGCAGAAATGAACCTATTGGGGTCTCTGGAAGTGCACGTACCTTCGCAGGTCTCTAATCTCGTAAAGTTCTTGCATCCGAAGGATTCCAAAACGTGCCTTAAAATACGCCAGATTTGCGGGGCTTAGAGTAAATCTGTTTTGGCATAATGATATAAACGATACGGGTATTGGCAGAGCGGCAGCCGGACCTTTTCCCAGCCGACGGCTTGGTCCAGGTCCAGGAGTTAAGTAAGCGGAAGGGAAGATCCAGCTGTAGTATGAGAGCACTGCAGACCCCCCCCCCCCCCCCTTCAAACCCTGGGTCTCTCATCATGGGGAAATACAGTCAGGCCACATGTGAGGAGCACATGAGCGTCTCTCTTAGAGCTTCCAAGGTCAGTTTTCAAGTCGAGAAGGAAGGGGGGCTCTCGAGGGAGTGAAATTTAAGATTTAACCAAATGCAAACATCTTATTGTTTGGCACTTCGAGCCCTGAGGTCCGACGTTGACACCGAGTCTTTCTCTTGAATAGAAGTTCAGCGAGCCTTATGGTATTGGGGAGGGGGGTGGGGTGATTGCCCTGGGTGGAAAAAGCTAACAGAGAAGCTCTTTCAGCTGGACTTAAATTAATTTAGAAGCTTTATGTACTCCCCAAGATCATTGTTCAGTGTATGAAAAAGGCAAATTTGCATTTAATTTCGTAAACCATTCCAAGTTGTCTTATGGCAAGGAGGCACTGGGGAAATTTCCGGAAAGATTCTTCTGGGCTTTCATTCAGAGATTCTTTGAGAATGTTTTACATGCTGTTGCATAGTTGAACCAGTATCATGAAATCTGGAAAAAGACACCAGTGTTCCCAGGTGGTTGGAGGCAGAAGGCCCTCATTAGATGATCATCTTCATCTGTCAGGATTTGTACCTTCCGTGTCCCCTTTCACTTCCCCTGGCAGCCTCTATTCCTACGAGCCATGCGAAGTATTCCGATACCTCGGATATGGTCGGTAAATTGAATATAGAAAACCAGATTTCTATAGGGAACCATTGCGATCTTGATGTCGTAACATTTACCCAATTGCACGTTAGAGTAATATCTTTGCCGTGTAGGGTTGACTCTCGTCCTATTTAAAGTTATATGTTCAGTCTTACTTGGACAGAAGACGTTACTTAAGTAACTCTGTCACCTTTGCCTCTAGTTACAAGGATGTGCATTTCTCTGTACTCTCTATAGTGTCATTAGATTGGAGTCTGTGTGCAATCTGAGTCACTCAATGCTACTTAATGTCCAATATAAAACCGGCTGCTAAATGTTCTTGCAGCGGTGTTGTCCGAAGGATGTGTTTCAGCTTCTGAGGCCCCATGTTTACAGTTGGTCTTCACTGGTGTTTCAAAGGTGCCTTGCAGAATTTCCTTGAGAGATGACCCCGGTTTTAAGTTCATTTCGGCCTTTATGGAAGAGCACCTATTGTTCTGCCTTACAGTGCAGGCTTCCTTCCGAGCCCCATCCATCCTGTTCAGCTTGTTTGCCATTAAATGTGTTGCTTGTGCACATTCATCTGTGAAAATTCTTAATTGGTGCATTCTGAAATCTTAATCATTGGTTAATTGCCCCCCGCCCCCCTGTATATCTGTGCACGTTTAGGCCGGTTGACTTTCGTTCTAGCATTTAGAGTTTGTGGCAACAACTTTTTTTTTTGTTCCCCCTTGTAATGGATCAAGATGGTTGCAGCCCCTCTCCAGTCCGAGGGTGCGTTGTCTGTGAGCTCTTTCTGTCGTCGTTGAGTGCTGTGAGTCAGCAGAAAGGATCCCCCCCCCCCGTCAGCACAGTGCTGTAACAGGATCGTTGGACCTGGAATGAACTCTGGGAACAAATCAAGCTGTGTAATCGTGTTGGATATTGTGTAGCTATTAACAGGCAAAAAGAAACAGAAACTCTTCATTTGTGTGGTTTTTCCACATTTATGGTGCTCCTCTGCCTTTGTCTCCTTAGGGATCATGAAAGGAAAAACATAAGTGGTTTAATCTTTTAATTCTTTTCTCATTGTTAGGGTATTAGCTTTTGACATTTTCCGGTAATTAATAAGATTACAGCAGCTAATCTGTACAGTCCACACCTATATCAAGTGGTTGATCATTATCAGGCTATTGCTTTTGGAAGCTTTACTTTTGCTCTCTTTGGTTCCTACAATTATTGGCGGCAATTAGAAGAACAAATTTGTTGGCTATTTCTGTAGCGGCCGTTACCGTAGCACTGTAGCTGTCGGGGGAGTTGGCCACATCAGTGTTTGACCAGCTGTGCTCCTCCCACCAGGTTGTGGGTCGGTGGGTGGGGGGGGGCTCGACCACCATTCCCTTACTTTTTCCATGGTGGGGGCAAACGTTTCGGAATGGTGCCCACACCATAAACCCAGTACAGGAAATGAGTCTGGCGTGGCCTAAAGCCAACAGTCTGGGTGACTGGGACCTGCGTCATTTTCGAATCTGACTGTAAAATGTAACTCAGCGCTGGGTTTTCAGCAGAGGGACCAGTCAGCCGCTGTGTGACAAATACCCGTCCCTGCCCACGTTTGCACTGTGTGGTACGTCAAAGGGAGATTTTACATGTAGCTATTCATCGATTCAGCTGCCGACTGCACATTTCTGTAACTCATCCATATTTATGCTGTATCTTTGGGGGTATATGCTGATTTACAACATCCTGTAGCTTGTCGTAATATTTGCCCAAAATGATCCCCGGTAGATTCATCTGCAGTATTATATTCTGAATACAGTGGAATCGAAGCTAATTAACTGCAAGTAAACAGCCCATGATTTATTGATCTTTTTTAAATAACTGAATACAGTTTTAACTAAAACTGTGTTTGTGTTCTTCCAGGACTTTATTTACTCGACGTCATTATAGTATTTCAAGGAGGTCTAGAGGAATGTTCCGAATGTTATCGCAACCCAAGCCTTTCGCTAACATTTGGAAAACATCACAGATTCAGTTTTGTCTCTCAGATGTTGTTGGCAGATAAAAACTCTATGTTGATGTATTTACATTTAGCTGAGAGGTGACCAAGCAGCCCAGCTTTGTGCCTGGCCAGGAAAGGGGTTCCCTTCTGTCACTGGCTGTTCAGGGACCTGCACGTCCTGCTCCTCCGCTTGTCCCATTGGTCCCCAGCCCTTTCAGCGGCAGTCAGAGTAATCAGACTTATCACCTTCGATTTGGATGCGGATGGATTTCCGGGCAGAAATGGTGCTTAGTCTGGCTCTGTGTGTGATCACTTGGCGTAGGTGCGGCGCAGTAAGCGGGACACAGTCGGAAGCAGTTTGCAAGCTCCCTAAAAGCATGTGCCGTAAAGCATAACTATTTTACGGCGTGTTACATATGAGGAATGGGCAGCTCTGCCGATTTAAAACGTTTTCTGTGTAGGAAGCTTTTGTTGAGTTTTTATTTATTTATTTATTTATTTTTTTGGAGCAATTTTTTTGTTTATTTTTATGAGTGTTTTACTAAGGAGTGCAAGGGGGGTTTGGGGACTAGGTGCAACCATAGCCAAAGATGGCAGGGAAGGAACCTCATCAGCTGAGATAATCCTCTCTCTCTCTCTCTCTTTAGCTCGCTCGTGCAAACGGGCACACAAACACACTGCTGAAGGTCTCTTATGGTGAATAGTAATGCGCATTCTCAGTTCGGCCCCGGAACTCACAGCCGCTTTCAGAGTGTGGCCTTCTGTAATCCTCCAGGAGAATATGCAGCAAATGCTACAGATTTGCTAAGCACTGAGTGCCAGTCAGCGATTTTTACTGCTGCGCTTGGTAAACAAGCTGTTTCCAGATTCCTTACGAGTACCTTGGCTGAAGGGCACTTTAATCTTGGAAACCTGGATTTTACCTTTCCCTGACTGCCAGACCTTTGCCAGTGCCTGTGCTGGTACCTGCTGCATCATGGGAATGTTTCCAAGTTTTCTCCTTGCTTGTCCACAGATGCGTCCTCCTGCCGCTCCTGGGCGTCCAGCCCCCACAGCAGTCCCTCTTCATCCTGGTGGACTCCATCGACGAGGGCTGCCAGCTGGGCGAGGGCGAATCGCGGGCCTCGGGGGCCCCCCGCACCATCGCCGAGCTTCTGGCCAGCCACCACGAGTTCCTGCCGCCTTGGCTGTTGCTTATCTGCTCTGCCCGCCGCCAGAACAAGGCCATCACCAAGCTGTTTACAGGTAAACCGCCGTTTTGCCCGTCATGCAGACTGAAGCATTCCACTCTCTGAAGGTCAGAAGGTGCTAGATGTAAGCACCAGCTGGAGCTCCTTCCTTGTACCCTTAAGAAGCGCGTAGATCTGCACTGGCAACCTACGGGTCATCGGTACAGCGTCCTAGCCTACAGAGCCTCATACCGTCCCATGTGGTATGTGATTTTAGATAAATTCCTCTGCTTAACTAATCCAGGAGCAAGTATCGATATGAGTTCAGAAGAAGAAGATGAGCCAGTGTGAATCCAGTGTCGCCGAGTGATTAAAGCCAGTCTGCCGTAGCGTAGTGTGATTCTGACAAGCGTCTCGAAGCCGGCTCTCTCGCATTGGCCGTCTTGCACGAGAGCTGCACCACCACTGGCTCATTCCTCAAGCCGGTTAACGCCGCAGATGTCCGAGTGCGCGAGCTGTCACTAAATTCTGAGGAAACGCCGATTTGGGGAAAATCAGCACCCCGGAAGTGATTCGATGTGCCAGTGTCTCCGAGGAAGGCTTCCGCTTGACGCCGCCCCCCGACGCGTCCGAAGTGGCGTGGCTGTCGGGGCCCCTGGGTCCCGTGTTGTTAAGCTGGGCAGCAGAAGCGTGACTCATGCTTCCCTGTGTGGGAGTAGCTGCTTCTTATAACCTTTTCTGTGTCCACGCTGCCTCTCCAGTTCCCAGTCGCGGGGGATTGTAAAGCTCATAAACGCATTACATTATATAATATTTGATTCAATAAGGGTGGGAATCGAGTGTCAAATTGGCTCTATTTTGAATTATATATCTTCTCAGGGGCAACTATTGAACTTGTATTTTTTTTCCACCCCGTTATTTTAAAGATAATAGCTAGAAGGGAAATGTATGTGATGTGAATTCATTAGCACAGTTTTGCCATAAATATGTACCGTATCTACCCTTCTGATTAAACGTTTTAATGATGAAGAGTGACAGTCAGAAATGGCACGGAGCATACACTCTCAGAAAAAAGGGTAAAAATTTGTACCGTTGCTTGTCAGCGGGCTGAATCCTTGTAATTGTACCTTTTAAGGTACAGAAATGGACTCCGAGGCACATCCCAAACGTACAAACAGCATTAATGTACCATCAATAAGTCCACTGCAGAGTCTGTAAAAGGTACAGGTACCTACAGCCAAGGGTATAATTGGCAGATCCTTGAGGGTACACCCCCAGTGACAAGCAAAGGTACAAATTTTTGCCCTTTTTTTCCTGAGAGTGTTTGGTGGTGCTGAAGATCACTGGCACTGCACTGTGAGCTGATGTGCACTGGCAGGTTTGCGTGCCAGAAGTGAAAGATGTTTTAACGTTTATATTTTTTAGTTGAATTGAGGTGTTTAGGGCGGCTTTCACTCACTTTGAATTGATTTGAATCAGTGAGCATCACACACGTGCATTATATTCCTCTGTGTGGGATTGTGGGAAATCTTTTCAAGGACCATTTTGATGGTTCTGCCTAATGTTGTTCGGCCATTATCCGAATAGGATTGTCCTTTTATCACCATAGGTATGTTGATTTTTTTTTTTTGTATCTATATATATCCATGAGAACTCTCTTACCCTCTATCTTCCACTCTGGGTGAGAGTCACAGTGAAAGCCTCTTGTAAATTTCAGCTTGTGTGAGAGTTCACTTTGAGTTTGGTACTGATCCATGGCTGGTCTTCCAGCTCCCGATCGCAAGCTGTTGGGACCCTTGAGTGATCAGAGTGCAGCTTGTCTTTGGTCATGAATGCCGATATATTTCAGATTAAGGCTCTTTTCAGTTGGAGGCATGTAAAATGGCACAGAATCCCAATCCTGCCAATCATGGAGAGCCCCAGGCTCTGTAACTCTGTGCCAATCCAGACATGTGGGCACTTCAGTTAACGGTTTATTTTTTTCTCCTCTAGCAGCTCAGAGAGCCTGTAATTCAAATACCCCATTGTAAGACGTCTAATTGCTTTGTTTCTGAGAATGTAGCAATCAATATATATTTTTTTTTCTTCCTGTGCTCTCTCTGGTGGGTGCAAAGAGAGAGTACAGCTTTGGGGCTTGCGGGACGCTTCCGCGGTCGCAGAAATCGATCGGAGTGTTGTCGGCCCTGCCGATCAGCCGAAGGGTTAAGGTTTCAGCTTCCTCCGTGGGTCTCCCTGAAGCTCTCAGCAGCTACTGTCAATACCAGCTTCAGACCATAATAGTGGGGGTGACAGGAGATGGGAAACCCTGACCTGTGTGGCTTTATTTGAGCCAGGATGCCATAAGTTTTGGTAAGACTAGGATTTGAGTGCTTACTGTTGGACTTAATGGAATTTTGTGCTGCAGCAGCAAACTGATACCAAAATGGAAAATACAACAGTTTTATTTTTGTACTTGAAGTAGTTTGTCCTTTTACTTCTTTCAAGGCCATTTATTGCTGAAAAGCTGCTGGGGGAGAATCTGGAGCAATCAGGCCCTACCTCTTGCCGAATTTGATTGTTGTTATCATTTGGGGCAGCGGTCAACTTTGTCACCTGTCCTATATTGTACTTCATGTGTACACGCTGTCTTTTGCTCTTAGCGTCTTCTGATTACGAGCGACTCCTTGTCATCCTGTCAGAGACCGTTGGGCATCTCGAAAGATAAAGGGATGTATTTTGTCTGTCTGTCACAGGAGTTTAATATTCTAGGAGGCCTCTGTGATGTTTGTTCATGGTTGTCGTTAGAAGAGCGAAATCTGCCCCTTTATTTCCATGAAGACTCCCTTTAAATGCGAGCAGAAGGATGTGATCATTCAGAGGCATGTATGGGGGATGGTGAAGTAACTTAATATCCAAATTGTTGTTAGGAATGTCGTGCTTGTAGGGTAAAGGCTGCCGGCATTGTGACATTTATAGTCTGGTGCCATTTCCACAGCTCCTCCGATACAGCTTCACTCTTCAAATATCAAACTTTCTGATGAACATCTAGATAAACGATGTGCCCCATAAAACGAACGGCGAGTCTCCCATTCAGTCACTAATATTTACTGTATCTACAGTCGTCACTCGCCTTGCTGCCATTGATATTTTGCTTATATTTGTTGATATTTGTTGATATTTTGTTCTTCAGCTTCTGTTTTGTCAGAGACGGAACATACCAAGGTGACATGGAGATCTGAGTGTATGTTAGATGGAGAAAAATGTTCTGGAGTGAATAAAGAAATAAAGAAGACGGTTAATTTTAGATGGCCCAAGAGGCGGCGTTTTGATATGTTACAACAAGCCTGAAGGCTGAGGAGTAACACCACTGAAGCTTACTACTCGTCATGCCCGTCTCCCCCGCCTGCTGAGATGGTAGCTCCCGCACTGCCCATTTTTAATTGCTTGAGCAACGACCATGGTTTTGTTAAGATGGAAAAGGCCGGTCAAACAAAAGCCAACCTTCACTAAAAATACTATCCCTGTTTAGAAGGCCAGTTTTATGTTGGTGGTGCCTTGGCTGGCCTGACCTCCTGCTGGACCTGGCTGAGTGGGCGGTGCTTTGTCGGAGGGTTGCTGTTTCATTGGCTGTTGGAATCCTGGGTCGTGATTCGCTCAGCAGTCAGTGGTTTGGGGTCTGGCTGTTCGGCCCCTCAGCTTGACGCTGAACTGAGGGGTGAATTTCCCCCAACCAGTTTGAGCCTGGAAGTCAATGTGCTCCAAAAGTCCATTAAAGCCAGCCACTGCAGATTTCCATTACCCTCGCAGTCCGGCCTGTTAGTTTTATAAATAAGCCGTGAGCTGTTTAAAAGGATGCTGGCATTAACAAGGTGGAATGGGTTTTCCTCGGCCGAGTCTCATGATCCTTAGCCCCTTGTACCCGCAGTGCACATAAAACGGTCCCCCTAATTTTATTTTTGTTACTTTTCTGCTTGGGACACAGAGGCAGGAAACGCGAAAAGCCGTTAAACTCGGTGTAGGAATTGAGGATGCAAAACTAACCCTGCGATTTTTGGCGTCAGCCGTGTCCGTGATTGAGTGCTGGACTAGCCGCTTGATCGTCTCCTGGGCGGTGGGCAGTGATATAAATATAGCTTTCCCCTTTCGTTTTCCACCTTGTCTTGGAGCCATCGCTAGGTAAGTGAAATTGTGGGACTGCGAGTGATCTCAGAGGATCTTCGAAGGGATGCCAATTTTGACAAGGCCTGAGGCAGAACGAGTGGAGAGCGCAGGGTTGGAGATGAAATCGACTTAGTAATTTAGGCAGAGCAAAGGTCTGGGATTTGAAGGTCTAGGCAGGAGCCCTGGGTATATATATATATATATATATATATATATATATATATTTATATTTCCCTTTGAAAGCCACATCTCATTTTAGCCAGCCATTCTTCACTCATCCAACTAACAGTATCATTTACATCATGTACTTTAACACCATTGCTTGTTGTGCTGTGCTTTTCTAAATTGTCCTTTAGGTGTATAGCGGCCTACATTAGCACTACTCCGTAATCCCTGGGTACGTTTTTTTTTTATTTTCTATTTATATTTGAATTTTAAAACGAGTGTTTCAACTCCTTCCCTTGTACATCTCGTCCATTTTATGTTGGCTTGGCACTGAAGTTTTTTCTCTCCATAGAAACAGTGGGTGGTAGAAAATTGAACGCAGACCTGGAATCCAACTGAGAAAAGCTAAAAGCACATAAATAAAATGTAATTAACAACAGTGCATTCTAACGGCATAGGCCGACTGTTCCCTTCCAACTGAAAGGCAGCCGTTATTTTGCGTGACGCTTCGGTGGGACGTGGCTGAACGTTATGCAAATCAGGAAGTCGCCGTCGGACACAAAAAGACACCGCAGAAAGCCATAAGGTACGGATTTGGTGCTATTTGCATCTTGTTGTTGGTTACATGCTACATTATCTTCATAATACACTGAAGGGTGTTATTACAAGGGTTTATTGGGATTAAGTGCTATGATTACAGTCCCTTTGCACGTTCTGAGTGTTTAGATGATTGCTTCCAGTTTCCTTCACCAACACAAGTCAGATATGGGG